TATATATACAGTATATATACAGTATATATACAGTATATATAGTTTTTGTTCATTTTCCAACTTTCACTTTTCTGTTTCTTTGCTGTTCTTGTTCCTTTAAATGTTGTAGCTAACATTAAAAGTTCAGCAGTTGTTCAGCTCTCAGTTTTCACAACTTTTTTGCAGAAAATACAAATTCTTTTTACTTTAAAAACTGAAACAAAAGTGATTTTGTCCTAATGATGCAATTTTTATATAATAATTATAAGACAAACGTGACAATCAGATCAGGATGGTTTTATAAATAAAATCTAAATATTAAATATAAAACAACTAGCAGGTAATAACAGTTATTTTAATAAAGTTGCAGCTGCAGAAGCTTCTTCTTTCTGAACTAACATTAAACATCCAATAATAACCTTTCTGTTGTGAGCAACCTGTTCTGTCTGAGCTAAAGATAAAATGCAAATTCAGCAGGAAGTTGGAGCATTATTTTGAAAAGGTGTCAGAGGCAACCTGCAGCTCCAGGTTTATTCTCTGAGGGATTCTCACACACACACCCAGCACAATGAAAAACTGAAAAAAAAAAGCCACTTGATCCTTTTAAGCCTTTCAATCGGAGAAAACGGCAACAAGGAAACTTCAACCAAACCTGGGGGAAGTTGGGCGTCGGCACCTCGCACTGGGCCAYGGAGGTTTGAAATCAAACGCCTGTCCAAAAATAAAAAAGTTAACCACTCGTGATGATCTGATGTTTGGTGGAATTTCCCGAGTATTTAAACTTGTTCCACTTTRATTTGTTTGATCCCTGCAGGAAGTGTAGCTTATGCCATTCCAGTATGTAAACAACAGAACCTGGAAAAACCTGCTGCTTCATCATTTTACCTATTTTTAGTCATGGAAGAAGTTTTTATCATTTGATCAGCTGGATCACCGTGACACGCTTCACATGGGGGTCAAAGCTCCAACTGTGGGGGGTCTGCTTGTATTGTTGGAGCCCCTCCATCTGAGACAGTCTAAATCCCTGGTATAACGGAAACATGCATTATTTTATGATGATTTTATTCATTTATTTAAAACATACTTGCAGCTGAAAGCTAAAAACTGATTTAAATGTTTGAGGGTTCTTATTCTAAAKGTGTCACTCACATTTCTAAATATTAATTGATTTTTGGACATTTTCAACATGCAGATATAAGGTTTTATTGTAAAATACTGATATGAAAACTCTTTCTGTGTTTGCAACACCTATGATTCAAGTGTTCTTAATTTATATAAAACTAATACTACTGCTTGTAWTAGTTTTTAAATCAGAATATGCAACATTTATATTTGACACGTTTGAACATTTTACAGATGATATCCTAGAAATAATGTAACTAAAATGACTCCTGTGCAAACTTTAATTATCTCTTTTCTTTACATTTTCTTTCCAGTGAGACACGTTTTAGAAGGAAAGTGTCACAACATTAGTGTTGGTTTAAAACTTTTGCACACTACTTTGTGTCAAACTTTTGTTTCTAACAGATTTGAAGTATTTTGTTTTGTAGAAAATCTGAATTTTATCTGTAGGAAAGAAAGAAAAAACAATTGCAGGCTTTTATCTTCTACTCTAGATTTTTTTGGTATACCTCTCTTTTATGGAACCCTTATTACCATGTAATTACAAGGTAATAAAACAGTAATTAAATGTAATAACTACCTTATTACATGTAATTACAAGGTAATAAAATGGTAATTAAATGCAATAACTATCTTATTACATGTAATTACGAGGTAATAAAATGGTAATTAAATGCAATAACTATCTTATTACATGTAATTACG